GCTACCATACCTGGCTAATTTTTTATTTATTGTAGAGATGAGGTCTCGCCAAGTTGCCCAGGCGGGTCTCGAACCCGCGGGCTCAGGCAATCCACTCACCTCACCTCACCTCGGCCTCCCAAAGTGCTGGAATTACAGGCTGAGCCATGGAGCCTGGCCTCCGCATTTTAACTTCATCCGAAAAGAGACATTAAAATCCAATAGGGTTAGTACCAGCACAGAATGAGAACTAGCCGAGACCACAGGAAGAAAACGCACACCGTGTTGGTTGTAAACTGGGGCACAGCCAGGTGCAGTGGCTCAGGCCTGTAAACCCAGCACTCAGGGAGGCCAAGGAGGGAGGACTGCTTGAGCCTGGGAGTTTGAGACCAGCCTGGGCAGCACAGTGAGACCTCATCGCCACAAAAAATAAAAATATTAGCCAGGCATGGTGGTGTGCACTTGTAGCGCCAGCTACTCAGGACACTGAGGTGGAAGGATCTGTGAGCTGTGATCGTGCCACTGCACTCCAGACTGGGTGAGAGAGTGAGATTCCAGCTCAAAAAATAAAACAAAATATACTATGACATAAAATAATAAACTGGGCACAGTAACAACGCACTGGTGACTTCTCCTGAGCAGATGCCCAGTCTCCCAGACCAGCAGCCCCAGATCTCGGTGGAGAACAGGGCTCAGGGCATTGGCCCAAGAGTGGTCCAAGGGCTGCTTAATGGGTGGGGATCCAGCCCTGATGCCAAGACCAGGGATGGAGGGCACGGGGCCAGGCGAGCGCGGGGTAGTTGAGTGTGCGCGTGTTTGGGAGTGGGGTGGTGACCCACTGTCTCCTTGAAGCTGTCTGACAGCCAGCGGTTCCTGAGGACGGCCAGCACTGAGGACGGGGGATTCTCCAGGTCCTCGAAGGCGTCCATGAGAATGAAGTCCAGCACGATATCGAAGAAACTCATGCACACGACCTGTGATGGGCGTGGGGCAGGGGCTTGAGCGCACGGAGGCGACCACATCCTCCTGCTGGCTCGTGATGGGGCTCCCAGGCAGGGCAGGAACCAGGGGCTGGAAGCAGCGATGGAGCCATATCACACTGGCTGCTCCCGACCGCAGGCACGGGGGACACACGCCAACTTACCCCACGGCCCTCCAGCTCCAGCCGTGTGGTGGCCCAGGTCTCAGGCCGCAGGGCATAGCTCAGCATCTCCTCATAGGTCTCCAGGAAGCCTTTTGGGCTCTGCGGGGGAAAGCACAGTCGGTCCTGGGCACGGGACGAGATTCACAGGGACAGGCTGGCCTGCGGATGGGCAGCAGGCTGAGCCCAGACAGGGCCTGTCCCAGGCAGCAGCCACAGAGAAAGCAAGGCAAGGCCGGGCCTCCTGCCCACCCCGGCGCGCTTCTCTGGAGAACCAGGCACCCAGCAGTGTAACGAGCACCTGCTGCCTCCCAGGAGTGTGCATGGCGCAGCTGCAGCTCATGCTGCAAAGGGACACAGGATGGGAGGCTGAGTCAGGCAACCGGAGATTCAGGTCTCCATGAGCTTGGGCCCCAATGGAGAAATGGGAGAAGCCACAGTCCCACCTCACAGGCTACTCTTGGGGAGCTGATGAGCTCAGAGGTCAGAGCTCAGGTATGTAGCCCGATCAGTCCAGGGCCCAGCACCTAAGCTTCCAGTAAACAGCACCTGAGATGACGCTGGGATGCAGAAAGGCTCTTGGCACATAAGCCACACTCACCATGCCCAGGGACCTGGCGGCTAGCCGGGCCCAGGACCCAATTACCTGCCAGAGGTGGGTCTGCGTGGTTGGAATGGGAGAAACAGCAAGTGCCAGGGTCTGTGCTAACCATGGATTAACTCACTGAATTCTTTTTTTTTTTAGTCGAAGTCTTACTCTGGCACTCAGGCTGGAGTGCAGTGGCATTCTCATGGCCACTACAGTCTCGACCTCCTGGGCTCAGGTGATCCTTCTGCCTCAGCCTTCCAAGTGGCTGTAACTACAGGCACGCGCCACCACACCCAGCTAATTTTTTTGATTTACTGTAGAGACAAGTTCTCACCAAGTTGTCCAGGCTGGTCTCGAACCCATGGGCTCAGGCAATTTTCTCACCTCGGCCTCCCAAAGTGCTAGGATTACAGGCGTGAGCCACTACACCCGGCCAACTCACTGAATTCTTAGGGTACCATTAGGGAGTTCATGATTGTTACTTTTTTTGAGTCAGGGTCTCACTCTTTCACTCATGCCAGAGTGCAGTAGTAAAACCACAGCTCACCACAGCCTCTACGTTCTGGGTTCAGGCAATCCTCCTGCCTAAGCCTCCCGAGTAGCTGGGACTACAGGCACATACCATGGTTAATTTTTAAATTTTTTTTGTAGAAATGAGGTCTCGCTATGTTGCCCAGGCTGGACTTGAACTCCTAGGCTCAAGTAATCCTCTTGCCTTGGCCTCCCAAAAGTGTCTGGGAGTACAGACATGAGTCACCGCACCTGGCTTATTTCTTTTTTTTGAGTGGGAGTCTCACTCTGTCTCCCAGGCTCATGGCCACCACAGCCTCAACCTGCTGGGCTCAGGTAATCCTTCTGCTTCAGCCTTCCAAGTAGCTAGAACTAAAGGTACACGTCACCAAATCTGGCTAATTCTTTGATTTACTGAAGAGACAATGTCTCACCATGTTGCCCAGGCTGGTCTTGAACCCATGGGCTCAGGCAATCCTCTCGCTTCCACCTCCCAAAGTGCTGGGATTACAGGCATGAGCCACCACTGTGCCTTGCTGGCTTGTCTCTTAATAAAACCCATGTCCTACACTGGGGCAGAGGCTAGAGAGAGGAATACCCCAGACAGCAGGGCCCGTTGTGTAGCCCTGGTACCCAGTTGACCCCCTTTGCTTATTCACTCACTCATCCTCCTGGGCGGCCCACAGAGGCAGGACAAAGGGCACAGGTGGTGGGTCAGGCCAACCTGGCTTCAAATCCTGGCTCCATCCTGTACCTGCTCAGTGCCCCATGCAAGCCCCTCTCCCTGCACCCTCAGGGGACAAGTCAGATGAAGACCTCCTGGGCACAGGACTTGGAAGACGAGTGACCAAGGAAGAGGGGATGGGGGTGGCCGGGAGGGCCTTCCAGACGCCAGTACACGTCCCACTTCCTAAGCTGGGTGATACAGTACACAGACACCTTTCCAGTCAGTAAATCCTCCAGACACCTTTTGTGAGTGGGGGTCTCACTCTGCATCACCTCCTGGAGCGAAGTGGCACAATCACAGTCACCACAGCCTCGACCTCCTGGGCTCAGGTGATCTTCCCACCTCAGCCTCCCAAGTAGCTGGAACTGCGGGCACACACCACCATGTCTAGCTAATTTTTTGATTTATTGATTTGATTTTTGATCTTTTTATTTATCCCAAAGTGCTGGGAATACAGGCATAAGCCACTATGCCCAGCTTATAGATACTTTTTAACACTCTCTTCCATATGTATTTCACAATACAGTTGTTTCAAGAGAAAAAAGATTGAGCCACAGCGTTCTAGGTGCACAGGGACCAGCATATACCCTGATTCCTGGGGTGGGGTCCCGTCCTTCTGATTAGGCATCAGAGGCCCCAGGCCCTTCAGAAGGACAAGGCAAAGCTCCCAATGCAGTAGCCACAAAATAAGGCTTGATCTCAACACCAAAGGCAGCAGCTGCAAGAGGGGTTTTAAGCAGTTGAGTGATAAGATCAGATGTGTGTTGCAGAATCATGACTCTGGCCTGTTAAAAGCTTTGCTCAAACATATTAAAGGAAAGAAAAAGAAAAAACAACAGGGCCACATGCAGTGGCTGATGCCTGTAATCCCAGCACTTTGGGAGGCTAAGGCAGGAGGATTGCTTGAGCCCAGGAGTTCAAGACCAGCCTGGGCAGCATAATGAGACCTCTACAAAAAATTATCCAGGTGTGGTGGTGTACGCCTGTAATTCCAGCATCTTGGGAGGCTAAGGTGGAAGGATAACCTGAGCTGTGATTGTGCCACTGTACTCCAGCCTGGGTGACAGAGTGAGACCCTCAATTCAAAAAAAAAAGTCAATAAATGTTACAAATTATGCAGCCTCATCAACAGTCACAGAACCATAAAGCAGTAGATAAAATAACAAAAATCAAAAAGACTTGGCAGCCGGGCTTGATGGCTCAGCCTGTATTATAATCCCAGAACTTTGGGAGGCAGAGGCAAGTGGATTGCCTGAGTCTGCCGTTTCGAGACCAGCCAGGGCAACTTGGCGAGACCTCGTCTCTACAATAAAAGAGAATCAGCTGGGTGTGGTAGCGTGTACCTGTAGTTCTGGCTACTTGGAAGGTGGAGGCAGAAGGATCGCTGGAGCCCAGCAGATCAACGCTGGGGTGGCCATGAATGTGCCACTGCACTGCAGCCTGGGCGACAGAGTGAGACTCCAACTCAAAAACAAACAAACAAAAAAAAGACTTGGTTGAGCACAGTGGCTTATACCTGCAATCCCAGAACTTTGGAAGGCTGAAGTGGGGGGACTGCTCGAGCCCAGGAGTTCAAGACCAGTCTGGGCAACACTGAGAGACCTCAACTCTACAAAAAAAATAAATAAAATTAAAAATAAGCCAAGAGGCAACCCCCTTGGGTCCCTTCCCACTGTGGGAATGCTTTTCTGTCCTCTCAATAAATCCTGCTTTCTAAAAAATAAATAAGTAAATAAGCCAGGCACAGGAAAATCATTTGAGCCAGGAGTTCAAGACTATAGTGAGCTATGATCACATCACTGCACTCCAGTTTAGGCAACACAGCAAGACTGTTTCAAAACAGAGAAACAGAGGGCATAACAGCAAGATCTGCCAGTCTTCTACATGTCCATACCCAGGACTGAGATCTGCCACGTCTAGGCTCTGCCCCATGGAAAACCTCTCAAGTAACTAAAGAGATCTGTGTGAGACAATCAGAGCAGTGGTGTCTGTGATGGTGAAAAATCAGATACAACCTAAATGCCCACACATCGGAAAACCAGATAAACCACACAATGAAATACTATGAAATCAATAAAAAATAACTCCCTGTACCAATGGGGAGAGACAGACGAGATATACTGTTATACCACAAAGCAAGCTGCTGAAACGTAAGTAGGGCACAAAGGTTTGGAAATTAAATAACAATGTTCAGCCAGGCGGTGACTCACGCCTGTAACCCCAGCACTTGGGAGGGTGAGGTGGGAGGATCGCTTGAGCCCAGCAGGTAGAGGCTGCGTTGAGCTATGATGGTGTCACTACACTCCAGCCTATGTGACAGAGCTAGACCTTGTCTCTAATAAATAAATAAATACATGCCAATATCCCAGGGCTGGAAAGTCAATGGGACGGAGTAGGAGGAGACATGTCAGAGCATGGACAGCAGCTGTCTCTGGCAGGTGGAGTTTGGGTACCCTCTGTGGTTTGTGCCATGTGATTGCCCCCCACTACCTTCTCAGCCTTGGTCATCAGGCCCATCACCATCTGCCGGCCAACCTTCCCGAAGAAAAGCTGGTTACTCTTGTCTTCCAGAAGGCCCTAAGTAATGAGGAAGGGCAGTGAGCTGCGGCCATGGAGGGCCGTGGAGGGGCAGGACAATGGGCTGGATAGGTTACTCGCCCGCCAGGGGGCCCTGGGGGAGCAGGCCCGGCAGAGACCTGGGAAGCCATGCACATGTCACATGGCCATGGCCAGCCTGACTGCCCCTTGCCTCAGTTCCACCCCCGGGGGTCCCAGACCATACCCACCTCGAAGGCCTGCCGCACGCAATGCAGCTTGGCCAGGAAATCGTGGTCACTGTAGCAGCCCAGCAGGTCAGTCCTGAGGGGAGGACAGACGGTTACACCACCTGGTGTCTGCCCAGCGATGATCCTGGGAGCTCAGGCAATGCCTGGGTGGGGAGGCAGGAGGCTCTGGTTCCAGCCCAGCCCTGGCTCTGTCTCAGCCCGGAAGAGTAACCCCTGGTTGGTGTCTGTCTCCCTTGAGGCCTCAGTCTCCCTCAGGTCAAAAGACAAGGCTGGCAGGTTGCTCTCTGAGGATGTGTTGGCCTCCCAGGCAGCGGAAGTAGGGGGCTGGGGACTCCTTGAGGTCAGGATCAGCCCAGACCTCCCTGGCAAAGGACCAAAATGGCCACACTGCTCCCAGATGGCAGACAGGGCAGACCAGCCAGGCAGGAGAACCTTCATCCAGATCCCCAGTGCTTCAGGCAATATGTGCAACCACTTCTGATCAGAGAGTTAAAAAAAAAACAAAATAGCATTTATTGAGAGGACAGAAAAGATCCCACAGTAGGAGGGAACCCAAGCGGCTTGCCTAATCAGAAAGCTTTTAAACACACACACTTAAACCTGTGAGCCATGGTCAGAAAGTCACGTTCTGCGCTTCATGCCACAGAGAAAAGTTCATTTAAAATGGCTAAGACCAGCTGGCCTTGGTGGCTCAGCCTGTAATCCCACGCCTTCAGAGACTGAGGTGAGTGGATTGCCTGAGCCCGCGGGTTCGTGACCCACCTGGGCAACTTGGTGAGACCTTATCTCTACAATAAATCAAAAAATTAGTTGAGTGTGGTAGTGCACGCCTGTAGTTCCAGCTACTTGGATCGCTGGAGCCCAGCAGGTCAAGGCTGCAGTGGACGGGAGCAGCCACTGCACTCCAGTCTGGGCGATTGAGTGAGACTCCAAAAAAAAAAGGCTAAGACCAGCTAGGCATGGTGGCTCACACCTGTAATCCCAGCACTTTGAGAGGCCAAGGCAAGAGGATTGCCTGAACCCAAGGGTTTGAGACCAGCCTGGGCAACAGAATGAGACCTCATCTCTATAATAAAAAAATAAGCTGGGCATGGTGACACATGCCTGTAGTACCAGCTACTTCGGAGTCTAAGGGAAAAAAGATGGCCTGAGCCCAGCAGGTCAAGGCTGCAGTAGCTGTGAGTGTGCCACTACAGCTTGGGTGACAAGAGTAAAAATAACTTCAAAAATAAAAAAAGATGGCTAAGACCCTTAAATATAACCATGGATGGGGAAACTGAAGCTGAGAGAAGTCAGGCAACTTGTTTAGGGCCACACACTACACAGTGGCAGAAATGGGGAGTCCAGGTCTGTGCAACCCCCACCTGGGTTCCTGATCCCTGCCATGAAGGGTCTGTGTCTGGACAGGGGGCTTAGGAATACCTACTGTGGGACTGTGACTGAGCCCATTTGAGAACTGAGAACTGAGAACTGACTACTGTCATGTTGTTAACTGTATCAATTTTTTTATTTTAATTTTGGAGTCAGAGTCTCATTCTGTCACCCAGGTTAGAGTGCAGTGGCACGCTCCGGGCCAAGGTAGCGTGACTTCCACCCCAGCCTTCCAAGCAGTTGGAACTATAGGCATGCACCACCACACCCGGCTAGTTTTTTGATTTACTATAGAGACGAGGTCGTGCCAAGTTGCCCAGGCTGGTCTCGAACCTATGGGCTCAGGCAGTCCTCTCACCTCGGCCTCCCAAAGCACTGGGATGACAGGCGTGAGCTTGCACCTGGCCAAGCATATGGACTTGTCATTACCGACACCAGGCCCACCAGTCTTGGTACTCAGGGCTCATGTGGCCCCCAGGCAGCCTGAACTCGCCCCGGGTGGGGGCTGGGGCTCCCCCTGCCACCTGCTCCCTCCCCCTTCCACACCTGCTCACCTGAGCGTGCGGCAGGGCACCTTCCCCTCCTTCACCAGCTGCAGGGCCTCCTCATAGGCAGCCGCAGGTCTGGAGAGTGGGACTGGGACATCTCCGACCTGCAGGGACTCGAAAAGCTGGGGGAGGGGGCAGGGGAGCCCGCATAAGCAGCCCCCGTGGACGAGGGCATCTTCCCTTCCAGCCACTCAGAGGAAGCACTGGCCCGAGGCAGGTGGCCTGAGCTAGAGTCCAGCCCTGGCACTCAGCAGCCCCATCACCATGGGCCCTTCCCAAAAGGCATCTCTTTGTTTATTATTTTTTTTGAGTTGGAATCTCACTCGGTCGCCCAGACTGGAGTGCAGTGGCCGCTCCTGGCCACCGCAGCCTCGACCTGCTGGGCTCCGGCGATCCTTCCGCCTCAGCCTTCCAAGTGGCCGGAATTGCAGGCATGCGCTACCACGCCCAGCTGATTTTTTGATTTATTGTAGAGATGAGGTCTCGCTGCCCAGGCGGGTCTCGAACCCGCGGGTCAGGCAATCTACTCACCTCAGCCTCCCAAAGGCGCAGGATTACAGGCTGAGCCACCGAGCCCGGCTCCCAAAAGGCATCTCACTGATACACACCCGGGTCCTCCCAGCCCAGGGGAGACTCATGCCTGAGGCAGGTGCCCATGGCAGGAGTCTAACACCAAGCTACGGACATGGCAGTCTATGGAGGAAGAGGTCAGCGGGGCCACTGGGGGCCCTCCATCTCACCCACAAGACCTGTGACCCCAGTCTCAGGCCAGCCATCCACTTTGCCAAGTACCCAGGAGCGGCCCTTGGTAACAGCCAAGTTGTGCTCCCGTCGGAGGAAATGGAGTCACTTTCCCAGGACCCAGCGCCGCCCCAAAGGCCTGTACAGGAACCCTGGCCTCCACCCCACCCGGCCTGGTCCCCATGCCGTGTCACCTCCGTGGCAGAGAAGAAGGAGTCCTCTGAGGTCAGGCTGTCCTCGTCGTCCGCCCGCAGGCGCAGCGAGCCCTCAGTCAGCGGCAGCATGAGTGTCCTCTCTGGGAAGAGCAGTGAGGGCAGGGCTGAGACCCCCTCGCGGCACCACAGGGATCCTGGGTGTGAGCCACCAGCAGGTGAGGCAGAGCACCAGGCCCACAGCGTTGGGGTCGAGAAACTTCGCTGTGAGGACGCTGGACTCACGGTCTTGTGGGGATCGCGCCCTTCAATCTGCACGACATCCTCGGGGGCGGGCGGTGTGAGGTGTGGACACCAGGTTGGCCAGCGGCTCACCCACTGATCTGAGGCCTGGTGGCCCCTGAGCCCTACGCAGGGAGGACCCCGTTGTGCTGTGTGGCCTCAGACAAGTCGCCTCTCTTCTCTGACCAGCCAAAACAGCCACTGACACTGAAGGGCTTGAGTGAGTCCACGGGCCACTCATCGAGCATGCTCACCCCCACTCACTCAAGGGCTGAGAGGTCTGGGCCACCCAGGAAAGGTTGACCAAGGCAACAAGCCAAGCCCACGGACCTGTGGCAGGCCGCCCCAAAGGCCCCGCCAGGCTTTTTTGCCATGCAGGGAGGCCAGAGGCAGCAAAGCCATGCTGGGGTGCATGGGGGAGGACAGGAACGTGTGGCCTTGGCCAACATGCTCTGGGTCCCAGGGTCTCCACTGGCAGAGCCAGGGAGCCCGAGACTCAGGAGTCTAAGGCTGTCCCCCACAGAGCTGAGGGTGCCATTCCTCACGGGGGTCTGGCCTAGCAGGCCTGAAGAGGACACAGGCTGTTTGGTTGAACGGCTTGATTCCCTCTCAGAGATGTCGCCTCACGTTCCCTCCATCCCTGGCCCCTGGCCTGCTCGAGCCACCCACTGCATGAGTCATCCTGTACACCCACTCAGTCTGAGCCAGCAGGAAGGGCTCAAACCACAGGCCGGGAAGAGCTGTAGGGAGGTGTTGACACACAAGCCCAAGGCCTGCTCCCTTGATAGGGCATGGAGCACCAGCCCGAACTCTTAGAGCCTCCTCCCAGCTCTGCTCCTGTCTGCCACAGGAGGGGATGTCTGCTTCTCCATCTGTGCAGTGAGGCCTGGGATCAGGTGAGGCTGGAGGGCCCAGGGATTCTGTGTGTCTTATGCGCCCAGAGCCCATGCCACGGGCTCCTGCCTCCGTTCCTGCCAACCCCGTCCACGTGGGCCGGCTCACCAAGGTCCAGCAGCATGCTGTCTGCAGGGAAGGTGGAGCCGAACTCCTCTTGCAGGTGGTAGGCGCGGTGCAGCAGGGACTCTAGCTTCTCCGCAAACTCCCTGCGCTGCGACTCCGGCTGCCGGGGACATGGCGACCATCACAACCCAGGCCCTCCCCACTGACGTGGGGCCCAAGACCCCAGGGAAAGAGGAAGGCTCTGGGGCCCAGCAGCCAAGCCCACCCACCAGAGGAGCCACCAGTCCCATGTGGGGACTGAGCACTTGAACCTGGCCAGGCCTAAGAGGAGCGTGTCATGGGTGTAAACACACACTGGACTTTGAACACACAGTACCAAAAAATACAGACTCTCAGCCGGGCTCAGTGGCTCAGCCTGTAATCCCACGCCTTTGGGAGGCTGAGGTGAGTGGATTGCCTGAGCCTGCGGGTTCGAGACCCGCCTGGGCAGCGAGACCTCATCTCTACAATAAATCAAAAAATCAGCCGGGCGTGGTAGCGCATGCCTGTAATTCCGGCTACTTGGAAGGCTGAGGTGGAAGGATCGCGGGAGGCCAGCAGGTCGAGGCTGCGGTGGCCGGGAGCGGCCACTGCACTCCAGTCTGGGCGACAGAGTGAGACTCCAACTCAAAAAAAAAAAAAAATACAGACTCTCAATGCTCTCTCAGGAAGAAAGCATTGAACCTTAAAAAGTAAAAATAAGGGCGAGTGGCTCACACCTGTGTAACCTCAGCACTCTGAGAGGCAGAGGTGAGACAACTGCCTAAGCCCAGGCATTCGAGATTAGCTGGGCGTGGTGGCACAACTGTAGTTCCAGTTACTTGGAAGGCTGAGGCAGAAGGATCGCCTGAGCCCAACAGGTAGAAGCTGCGGTGGCCATGTGCGTGCCACGACACTCCAGTTTGGGCAACAGCGATTCCAACAAAAAAATTAATAAGGAAAACCTCAATAATCTTTTCTGTTGACTACAGATTGAAGTGATCATGTTATACGACCAGATTATATAAGGTATAATTGACCCTTGAAAATTATGGGGTTAGGGTACTAACTCCCCCCACACATATACAGTTGAGAATCCACAAATAACTTTTGACTCTTCAAAACTTAACTACTAATAGCCTATTGTTGACCAGAAGCCTTCCAGATAACATAAAGCCAATTGACACATATTTTGCAATTTATAGGTACTATGTACTATATTCTTACAATAAAGTAAACTAGAGAAAAGAAGATGTTATTAAGAAAACCATAAGGCTAGGCACAGTGGGTTCAAGCCTATACTCCCAGTACTTTGGGAGGCTGAGACGAGAGGACTGCCTGAACTCAGGGGTTTGAGACTAGTCTGGGCAACTTGGTGAGACTTTGTCTCTACAATAAATCAAAAAATAAGCGGGATGTGGTAGTGCACACCTGTCGTTCCAGCTACTTGGAAGGCTGAGGTGGAAGGATCACCTGAGCCCAGCAG